ATTAGTTTACAATTCTGTATTGCCTTGAACAGCTAGGAAAAGTCCCCCCCCCCCAAGTTTCCCAGTCTTATAGCTTTTATATTCGATGTATATTTTACCTAAGTATTAACCAAGCTTAACTATGCTTTATTTTTGATCAAAGGCAATATACATCNCGCTGTGATGACGTCAGCTACGCGGTTTCGTCGAGTGCCCTTTAGTCGAACGCGGTTTTGTGGTGGAACCCCTGATCTCACAAGTAGAGAACTCATTAGATTGTAAAGCAGTATCAAGATGTCTCAAACTCATCTAATTTTTTTTGGGGGGGGTGAGGTGTCACATATGTATCTAATAGTTACTAAAAGTTTGATGATGTTTCTCTTATGCATTCGTTGTCCTATTTACATGTTCTTTATAATGTGTTAAGAATAAAATCTCAGCATTTGTCATGCAGGCATTTCTGAATGTTATAGGGCCCTGATGGCGAGCCTATGGCATGAGTGCCCATCATGGCACGCAGAGCCCTCTATGTGGGCACACCTGCAGTCACCCCAGCCCAGCTGTCACTCAATCAATCCCAACTTCTCACAAATTTGGAACTGATTAAACTTTTTCATTAGCGTGCTTCACAATGGGTGAGACGGGGTCCCGTCCTCCTCCTGAAGCCTATTATGATGCAGAGCCACAATGTGATCCTGGGTTGTTTCAGCTCAGAAAAAAAGCAGTTTCTTTTCCTGGAAAGCTGTGTTGGGATGCCCTGCCTCAGCCCCAGCCAGCTGAGCATGGGAGTGCTGCTCCTGGGCTCTTTGTCCTTTGGATGTCATTCCCACCACCCAGCACCAGTTCTGGGGCTCCTTCTCCAGCCCCCCTCAAAAACAGAGGGAGGCAGAGAGAGAGAGGTAGGGAGGGAGGGAAAGAGAGAGAGAGAAATAGAGAGAGGGAGGAGGGAAAGAGAGGGAGGGAAAGAGAAATGATACCACAAAAGTCTTTCTTTTTTTATTGTTGCTAAACATAATGTAGCAAAAGCAGAAAAAGTCACCCCAAAGGAGTATTTGAGGGCTGAACGCTGAGAGGCACTAAGAGGTAGATTTCCTCTGCCTTCCCACCCAGCGCTAAAGCGGACCAAGCGGGCCTGGGTTTCCTCGCTAAGGGTCCTCGACGAGCCCGTTTACAAATTCTGCCTGGCGCAGCTCCACAGTTCGCGTTTCGCTCCCGAGCTGGGATCCATCAAGTTGCTAACTCAGCAGGAAGCAGCGCTGGGACGTGAAGACACGGAGGAATTAAAGTGTGGGGGGGAGCATCACAGATCTCCATTTTTAAAGCTCCGTAATTGCCTTTAGGCGCAGTGTTTCCCAACCTTGGCAACCTGAAGATGTCCGGACTTCAACTCCCAGAATTCCCCAGCCAGCATTCGCTGGCTGGGGAATTCTGGGAGGTGAATCCCGGCCATCTTCAGGTTGCCAAGGTTGGGAAACACTGCGCCTAAAGGCAATTACGGAGCTTTAAAAATGGAGATCTGTGATGCTCCCCCCCACACTTTAATTCCTCCGTGTCTTCGC